GATGTCGCTCTTTATGCCCTCTTTATGCCAAACACTGACCCCTGTGGAACACTGCTCGTGACGCTTCCCCACTCTGATTTCTCCCCATTTATGCAAACTCTCTGCTGCCTATTTGTCAACCATGCCTCTATCCAGGAAAAAATTTCTCCTCCTATTCCATGTGCTTTAATTTTCCTCAATAGTCTCTGATGTGGGACCCTGTCAAAAGCCTTACTGAAGTCCATATACACAATATCATATTCATTGCCATGATCTACCTCCTCAAATACCTTAGTGAAAAAAGTTAATAAATTCGTAAGGCAGGAACGCCCCTTTGTAAAGCCATGCTGAGATTCGTTGATTAATTTATGCTTTTCAAGGTGGCTACGAACTGCCTCGGCAATTATTGATTCCATAAATTTTCCCACTATGGAGGTTAGGCTTATTGGTCTATAGTTCGAAGCTAAGGACCTGTCACCTGTTTTGAAAATAGGTATCACATTTGCCATTTTCCACTTATCTGGCACCATGCCAGTTTGTAGTGATATGTTGAAAAGATTAGCCAAAGGTGTGCTAAGCTCCTCTTTACATTCCTTTAGAACCCTTGCATACAGTTCATCAGGACCTGGGGATTTGTTAGGTTTTAATTTATCAATTTGCCTAAGGACCATGTCACTTGTGACCCTAATCGTGCACAGTTTATTATCGTCCTGTTCTACATAATTTATCATTACTGGAATATCGCTGGTATCCTCCTGTGTAAAAACTGAGAGGAAGTATGTGTTAAAAATTCTACACATTTCCTTATCACTGTCAGTGAGCTGACCCGAGGAACTTTTGAGTGGGCCTATCTTGTCCCTGATCTTACTTCTGTATACCTGAAAGAATTCTTTTGGGTTAGTCTTCGATTCTCTTGCAACTTTAACCTCATAAACTCTAAGGAATGGTAAAAGGAGGGAGTGGTAGTAGTACTAATACCACCGACTGGTGTGAGCGGCATCCTGGGGGAGACGATTAAAAGAATCTCAGTGAAAAAATAAGCCAGAGGGAATGTACAGTCTTGCCAAAGACAAGCTATTACCTGAGACCTCACTTCCATCCCAGGTGACCCTGGCAGGTGACCATACCTTTATCGTAGGTGACCTCCTCTCTATCTGCAGCAAGATCTTGCTGAACCCTAACAGACCTCTCCTCAGACACTATAAACTCCTGCTTTCCTTCTCTCTCCATGATTAAATCCCTGCTGGATTAAGCGTTCTGAAATAAAATCCTATAGATGCCACACAGTGTCATGGACAAGTACTGCGGTTTTAAGCCTATCTACTACACGAAGTTCAGTAAATCTAAATGTAACGTGTACACAATCAGGAAAGAATTGTTTAGTTCCTAAAATAGGGAATAAAATAGTCTAGGTACATATACGTGCACAGATACTTCTTGAGGTATATACATTAAGAAATATATTCCTCTCGATGTATATACACAGATATATACACTAGGAGTTGTTGGAATTTATAATTGAGTGGAAAGTGGGTAGAAATAAAGTAGAATAAAGTAGAGGAAGTATTACTGAGTGCACTAACATAGGACCCCAATGGAAATAAGTCACTCTGTCTGACTTTTTTGGGTTATAAGAACATAAGAACGAAGGAACACTGCAGAAGGCCTACTGGCCCATGCGAGGCAGGTCCAAGTCCCTACCGGCTTAAGCCAATGCACCCAACCTAGTCAGGTCAGGTCACATTGACTTAAGGGAGGAACACGGCAACCGACCTGTTAGCACAAGCTATCAGGTCCAACTCACACCCACCCACATCTACTCATGTATTTATCCAACCTATTTTTAAAGCTACACAACGTTCTGGCCTTATAACGGTACTTGGGAGTTTGTTCCACTCATCCACAACTCTATTACCAAACCAGTACTTTCCTATATCCCTCCTGAATCTGAATTTTTCCAACTTAAAACCATTGCTGCGAGTCCTGTCTAGGCTAGATATTTTCAGCACACTATTTACATCCCCTTTATTTATTCCTGTCTTCCACTTATAAACCTCAATCATATCCCCCCTAATTCTACGTCTTTCTAGAGAGTGCAGTTTCAGGGCCCTTATCTATCCTCATAGGGAAGGTTTCTGATACATGGGATCATCTTTGTCATCCTCCTTTGTACATTTTCCAGAGAATTTATATCCATTCTGTAATACGGTGACCAAAACGTGCAGCATAATCTAAATGAGGCCTAACCAAGGATGTATAGAGTTGAAGAACAACCTGAGGACTCCTATTATTTATGCTTCTTGATATGAAGCCAAGGATTCTATTAGCTTTATTGCGAACACTTATGCACTGTTGTCTTGGTTTCAGATTACTGCTAACCAGAACTCCTAAATCTTTTTCGCAATCCGTAATATTAAGATCTACATTATTTAGTTTATATGTGCATGGTTATTGTCCTGTCCAACATTTAGAACTTTGCATTTGTCTATATTAAACTGCATCTGCCACTTCTCCGACCACTGCATCAGTCTATTCAAATCTTCCTGGAGTGCTCGAATGCCCTCGTCAGAATGAATTCGACGGCCTATTTTGGTGTCATCGGCAAACTTGCCGATGTCGCTCTTTAGGGCCCTCATCTATGTCGTTTATGTAGATTGTGAACAGCAGGGGGCCCAACACTGACCCCTGTGGAACACCGCTCGTGACGCTTCCCCACTCTGATTTCTCCCCATTTATGCAAACTCTCTGCGCCTATTTGTCAACCATGCCTCTATCCAGGAAAAATTTCTCCTTTTTCCATGTGCTTTAATTTTCCTCAATAGTCTCTGATGTGGGACCCTGTCAAAACCCCTTACTAAAGTCCATATACACCAATATCATATTCATTACCATGATCTACCTCCCCCAAATACCTTAGTGAAAAAAGTTAATAAATTCGTAAGGCAGGAACGCCCCTTTGTAAAACCATGCTGAGATTCGTTGATTAATTTATGCTTTTCAAGGGTGGCTACGAACTGCCTCGGCAATTATTGATTCCATAAATTTTCCCACTATGGAGGTTAGGCTTATTGGTCTATAGTTCGAAAGCTAAGGACCTGTCACCTTTTTTTGAAAATAGGTATCACATTTGCCATTTTCCACTTATCTGGCACCATGCCAGTTGTAGTTGATATTTTTAAAAGATTAGCAAAGGTGTGCTAAGCTCCTCTTTACTTTCCTTTAGAACCCTTGCATACAGTTCTTTCAGGGCCTGGGGATTTGTTGGGTTTTAATTTATCTATTTGCCTAAGGACCATGTCACTTGTGACCCTAATAGTGCACAGTTTATTATCGTCCTGTTCTACATAATTTACATTACTGGAATATCGCTGGAAATCCTCCTGTGTAAAAACTGAGAGGAAGTATGTGTTAAAAATTCTACACTTTTCCCTTACACTGTCAGTGACTGACCCGAGAATTTTTTAGTGGGCCTATCTTGTCCCTGATCTTACTTCTGTATACCTGAAAGAATCCTTTTGGGTTAGTCTTTTCGATTTCTTGAAAATTTTAACCTCATAATCTCTATTTGCTTTTCTAATTCCCTTTTTTATTTCTCTCTTTAACTGAATATATCAAATTTTCTTAATTGCCCCTCTCCTCTTTTGATTTGCCTATATATGCCTCTCTTTTGACCAATCAGATTTTTTAAATCTATTGTTAAACCATTTAGGATCATTTTTGTTTGATCTGATTTCCCTATTTGGAACATAATTTGACTGAGCAGCTAGAACTATGCCCTGGAAAGCATCATATCGGCAACCATCACCACCTACCTGACCCCTAGTCAGGTCATTCCAGTTCAGCCAACCTAAGTAATTTTTCAGTCCTATGAAATCAGCCAAGCGAAAGTCAGGGACGGAGACTTGATTGCCATTATTAGGGGAATTCCATGATATGTTAAAACTGAGTGATTTGTGATCACTCTCCCCCAGCTCATCATTAACCTTATCCCAGGTTCTCTACACATATGCTGCTATGTATGATAATTCTATGTAACTGTATTTGTGTATACCTGAATAAATTTACTTACTTACTTATAGTGCACCGTGGGGACGTTATCAGTCACACTCGTTACTACAGTGCACCAGCAATTAGGATCACTTATAGAGAAAGAGCAAAAAGTCACAATACTGTGACTGGATCAACACACAGATAACCCGCTCTTAGGAGAGAGGAGCTTATGACGACGTTTCAGTCCGACTTGGACCATTTACAAGTGGGACCGAAAGTCGTCGTTATTTGTGACTAACGTAGACGCCTATACAGGTGTAGGACAACACCTCCGTAGACATAACATATAATACTTAAATAAACTTAACCTAACTTAATCTAACCCCTAACTTAAATTAAACTTTTTGCCACAATTGACACTTTTGCTGTTGGGTTTCATTTGGGTGAGGGGCCTTGTTTGTGGGCGTTTTGCCCTGGTGGGGGGGGAAGGTCTCCTGGTTTTTTTGTCTTAGCAAAAAAGAGGGGGGGGGGGTAGCCGTACTGCAGAGTTATACTGACTCATAAAAACAGCATTAATAATAATAATGTTAAGTAAAACAACATAATGCTTTTAATAATGTAAAATAACGACAACAAACTAACAACAGTTACCACCATTACCAACAACAATTACCACCACTACCACACACCAGTATCCCTACCTCTACTGCTTGTTAGTGGAGGTTGAATGAGACTCGGATCATAAACACTGAGAGGTATACATCACTTACTGTATATACATCTTTCGGTGTGTATACACTGTGGACGTCGCATTAATTAGAATAGTGATAATATTAAGAGGAACTAGGAGACAGTAGGGTAAGGTGAAGAGAAACCCCCTCAAGGGCAGGGCGAGGATGCCCAGGGTACCCAGTATAGTGAAAGGTGTGGACAGTTTATAAGCCAGTGGTGAAGCAGTACTCACAGCGGAAGGACGTAATACTCCATTTTCTTTGACATCAACTCTACCATTGTCTTTGTAAGTATTGGTAAATAAGACTTTTCATACTGGCTGTACACTCGAGATACGAGTATCTCTCCATGTACGTATACTGAGCATAATTTTTACGTATACACCTCTTGGCTAATTATACAGGTGACAATAGTCCTAGTAGATTTTAAATACTTTTATATATTTTAATCGCCCTTGTCAAGCTTGTCCAATCTACTTTTCAAGCTCCTTAACGTTTAGCTTAAATACCTTTTAACATGGAGCTCCACCTTCCTCCAACACTTCTTAATTATTTTGTTTTAACTTAAACCTGACTTCAGGAAGTGGACAAACGTGCAACACCTGCATACTTCATCTTTATTTAGAGATTTTTAGCCAACCATTAGTTTCATCAATCCTATACTGAAAAAGTGTAAAGACAATGAGGAAATCAGCCTAGAAGACAGTATAATAGTCTTGAATCACATTCATAGACTAAAGTACTTCGTATCTGTTTGTAGGCTGAAGCTGTGTTTTCTAGTTACGAATTGATGGTAACTAGTTGAAGCTTCAGCTGGAAGACATTCAGGTGTTGCACGTAAGATTCTTCATTTTTATAGAGGAATGTTATTTAGGCAGCTTGCATGACTCCACGATAGTATTCCGGCGAAGAAGAGACTAATGAACAAAAATTTATTCATGTGGAGAATCTGTGTCTTGCAGGAAACTCCTGCACGCAACCAATATAAACTTTATCCACTTTCAGGAAGTGTATATAACGCATCACCATACCGAGGTAGCTGACCCGCAACCAGGTGTCTTGTCACCCCAAGCTTGGGGTCCTCCTGGTTTAAAATCTCTACCGTAGTCTAGAGAACACTTTCACTCCAAACCAGTCTTGCGTTCTCCTCTCAAATGACGCAAATGAGGTTGTTCACTCCTGTTAAATAGGGTTTTACTACAACGACTTCATAAGATCTGCCCTTCTTTGGTTGAAGCCTGATTATCTCTGGGTTTATCATCCCATCCCCCTCCCTTTCCTGAATGAGACCTGTTTAAACGGGGGTTTTTTTTTTTTTACTGTTCTAAGAATAAAAGCTTTCTTAAACATGGTGATTGTGTGTAGCCTTAATCAAACTTAATGAAGGCCCAGCATACATTTCATGGCAGTGTACTGACCAAGCGTTTCGTCCACTAGAAGCTTCATAAATTATCCTTTCTTCCTTAGTCCCTAGTGAGCGAAACGTCCGCTCAACAAAATACTCCACCCCACATTCTTAACGTGTATTTTATTCCCTGGATATACTTGTGTGCAGTTGATCTAGAGCGTCTGTGACGACCTTACTAAAATGCTTCACTCACACCTGGTAACAAGTAGCTTACACGCGGATATTTTAAGCATTTTCCTATTATTTTAATCTTGTACCAGTGCTGGGTAACTTCGTCTTCAATTAAGACTTGACATTGATTCTTACAGAACTGGAAGATCAACATTTTTAATTAAGTAAATTCTGCAGATAACTTTCACGAGTTCTTGACATTCCTCCAACCTTGGTTACGAATTGTTGCTTATATATTTTGTTTATTACTGTCATCTGTACACTTCAGTCAAGGGTCACAGTGACTTAGGACCCCGAATAGCCTAAGGTTGATAGTACGTATGTGCAGGGGGGAAACCACAGAGAATAGGAGTATCAACAATTTTTGCCAAGAAAGCTGGAAGTTTGAAACAAGATTGCGAACAAACCACGGAACGGGTGGGGTTTCAACCCGTGACGAGAGTCATTAAGACTGTGGGATCAAACCCAACCCGTTCCGTGGTTTAGTTCAGCTGTAAAATTTCATTAATGACAATGTCGCCAGTGACGGTCAAGTCTATAAAGTGACTTCTGTTCCTCTTTTTTCCTATACACTTCACTCTAGATTCCCCCCACTTAAGTTGATTTTTTTAATTTTCTACTCTTAAAATGAATATTAATCGACAAGGTAACCTCTCCCCTCCCCCTCTCGCCTTGTGATATACCTGCAAATTCCTTTCACCCAAACTTTTTAAAAATTATTTATCTTAATTTTTTTTTTTTTTTTTTTTTTCGCCGGTATTCTCCCGGCCCGGGTCTTTTCCAAGTAGTGGTGACCCGGCCTTGGCTCCCTATCTGGGGAGTGTCTCGAGACTTCAGTCTCACATGGGAGGAGGTACAAGTACCTCCTCATCTTTGGGACCAAGTGTCCCCAGGCCTAGCCACATTCCCCGCCCTCACGGGGCTCGTAGGGAGAAGCTAGGCCTCTGGTCTGCCATCTACCCCGCCTCAAAGGGTCTCGTGGGGATGGCAGTCTTATGAGCTGTAGATGGTAGCAAGCTCAGGCCTTCGGGCACTATTTATCGTTCTAGGTTAACTTGCTTAGTCAAATCTATTAGTACTATGAGCCTTGGTCAGCTTTTACTATGCTCTGAAAAATATATTTTAACTTTAGGTATTTGCGAAATTCCATGACACAACTATTTGTTATCGCTGCCTCAAAACTTCTGGCTTTAAGAATTCTTAATTCCTTGTTTGTCAGAATCGGTCAGTGTCCTCTAGTTGACTCCATCAGTGTTGAGAAAAATATACTTTTTAAGAAATTCGCTGTTTTCTTTTTTTTCAAATAAATTCGGCTTTATTTTTCGTACCTAATCCTTTTAGCAATTATCACTGAAGTTCACCCAGGTCACTATATATGTTTGGTCCGTAAGTCACGCAGTTTTTTCTACACCTTTAAACTGCATGCATAATTTTTGCCCTTGTATAATTTATCTACACAGGCTTTGCCTACCACGGAGTCAGTACCCACTGTAGTACTTACCCTTTTTCTCCTTTTTAATCAAATTTAAACTACTGGTGTGTCTACTTTGAGTCTATTCTTCTATAAACTTTAAGGACCATTCTGTCAACACTTATGAAAGTGCAAAATAATTGCAGGAACTGCCATCTAAATCTTATTTCATCCCAGCAACACTTAACATAGTTCACAACATTCGCAGTGGAAGACTACATACAAAATTTCTATGGCTTTCTGCCAAAAGTTTTATTTAAAAAGTAGGAAAATTTCATCTCGCTGCTAATTTTTTCACAGATCATGGGTCTTGCAACGGGGTACATGGCTCATTTCCTGGCCACTAACTGGCTGGAGTTGACTGTAGCTTGCCTGGTGGTGGTGCTCATAAGACTGGCTGTCCGCCGCTCAGCACGCTACAAAAGTTATCTTTCATCTTCTAATGACCGGCCCAAGAAAGTGATACGCAAAATCACAGGTACGTCAAATTGTCTAGTAAAAGTCTTGTGTAAGACACCAGAATACCTCATGGGTAGCCTACAACTGAGGCACTTTGACTTAGACACTATAGTTTTCCGTGCTCATTTACTGCTTTAGATAAGAGAAGTTTATTTTCTCTTCCTTCGGAGGATTATTGAGAAGTTGCTTTAATAAAACTTTAACCAAAACTTCTGTAAGTACTGTAGTTATTAGGTAAATGTTTGCATATTAAACTGCAACCTCTTAATTATAAAGCTTATGTACTGAAGTCCTCTAATTACATCAAACTAATTACATCAGTAATTACCCTCTAATTACATCACATATTCTTACTCTAAGAACCGGTAGCATTTACTATTAATCTGTTTCTTAATTCATACTTTTCCCCACAACATTACACAAGCTGAGGCTTTTATGTCAGTGAAACTGTTGGAAAAAAGTGAAGATATTGGATACCTTCTAATGGTAAAAGTCTTGAAAATAAAATTAGGTCTGTGGATCTTCAAAAATTCTCTAAATAAGATTAAGAGCTTTTAAGGCTTTTGAATCTGTAGTAGATATTTGTTCAGATTAAAATTACACTTGTAACATTTAGGTTAGTGCAATAAACATAGCTAAAGATTTCGTGTAGTTTCTTCGGCTGTTTTCTCTGAAAGTTGAAGATCTTGTACAGCAGATTCTGGTTGATACACTGCTCCATGCCCACGTCTAGTGGGCCTGTAACGTTAAAATTAATTCCAAAAGATGGGTAACATATCCAATGTAAATCTTCGTATGTAACCCTTGTCTTCCATGTCTAGTTTGTCTTAAAATATTAACTCTGGACAAACGTGGTAGCTAACGAGAATTCTAAATCTGCCAGGGGGGAGGGGGGTGGAAGGGCCTATATTACAATTAGACAATCGTTTTGCAAAATTATTTATTACGGGCTTTTGGTAATAAAAATTACTGTGCATGGTATTTTTAGTGTAGTAATGGCTAGTCTTGCAGTGTGTGCTCCCAGTGAGGCTGAGGAAGACTCTCAGACCAGCAACATGGTGGACCCCTTGTGGCCTGAAGACTTGAAGCAAATCCCCTTCACCTTCAACAGGTAAGTCTCAGGCCACTACGGCATTCAAGAAACAACAGTTTCACCAGTATTATCCCCATATTTTGGGCAGTTAATAATTTCAAAACATCGCATTTCCTTTACGACTTATCGAATTAACCAGCTTAACTATTATGAGCTAAAATATTTTAATCTTAAATATGATTTTAATTGAGTAGTGGGATTTCTTGAGCTCTAGTTACTGGACATCTCTGCTTGGTAAGTTTACTCTTAATTATCAGCCTCGTATCTTTGGAAAAGAAATGGAACACCACTGTCTATTGAACAGCGTTGCAATGATCTGGAGGAGAGCACATGGGCAGCTTTCCTTGTGAATACCTTTAATGCATTTTGGCTTATGGCGTAGACTACTAAGTAATGGTTGGAAATAATTTTAGCAAAGATCATATGGTTATTGCTACGTATTACCCAATGTTAAGAATCTACTGTTCAAATGAGTATCTATAAACTAGTTTGTACTAGGCAACATCTCCAGTAGCTTTAAAAGATATTCACGCTAAATTTTAAGCCTGAAGTGTGGCATTAATTTTCATTTTGCTTTCTCTCCCCACCCTGTTTCTTAACACCCTGCCTCGCTGTGCTCGCATAATCGTGTGGTTCAGTTTATCTAAAGAGGAAAGTATAAAGAAGTCTCAAGACTTCTACGACTTGATGAAGCAGCGACGGACAATAAGGTTCTTCAGCTCTGCTCCAGTCCCCCGTGAAGTCATAGAAAACGTGATCAAGGCGGCAGGTAAGTTCAACACTGACTATCTTCTGCCTGACACACTATCAGAATCGGCTCTAGAAATTTCGTGTTAAGGCGCAGATGAAGTGATTTAAACCATTGACAACAAATTCTTGGACATCTTCCTAAGACTGAAATGACTGCCTCAAAAAATAGCTAATTTTAAATATTGAAGATCCTAGGTGGGTGAAAGTAAATTACCACACAATCTTTTTTTCTGTAGTATCTTGTATGGTTGGCTAAAGGGTTAGACTAATTTGTTGCCCTTTTTTAAGTTTATTACGCCTTATCACTGGCTCTTGAACATACCACTGAATTTGGTTTAATTTTCCCTGCTGCCACTACACTAGTGATCCACAACAGTCTGACCTTGTGCCGTGATAGTGACTTAAATCACTGCTGCTGATAAGACCTTTTAAACTTTTTAGCTTTAACCTTGTCCCCTTTAACATTAGGGTAAACAGTAACTTAACAATGGTTACTTGTAATAACCTGTTAAATGTTGCAGGCACGGCACCGTCCGGGGCGCACACTGAACCCTGGACATTCGTGGCTGTATGTGACCCTAATGTGAAGCAGGAGCTGAGGACCATCGTGGAGACAGAGGAAGAGATTAACTACACGAAAAGAATGGGTTAGTAAGCTAGATAAAATGCCATAGGTTTTAGCAGGATGTCATTTTTTTCGCCTGTGATATCACGGCTAAATCAAAAGGTAGCCAGGTGTGATAATTTTTCAGCTAAGTACCCTATTCACGGAAAATTTAGAGTATGCCTTTATTAAGACTAGTGTTAAATATCTGCAGGTAAAGAATGGGTGAGAGATCTAAAGGGATTCCAGACTAACTGGGTGAAAGAATACCTGACGGTGGCTCCCTGGCTCATCCTAGTGTTCAAACAGACCTATGGGCTTCTACCAGACGGCCGTAGAAGGAACCACTACTACAACGAAATATCTACTGGTCTCGCCAGCGGCATACTTTTAAGTGCCATCCACGTGAGTGTTGCTGTAATCTTATGCAGTGTTCTAGGCAGGATGGGGGGGAGGGGCTCTTATCTCGAGTAGACCAGCTTGGAAAACAGGCAAGCACACTTTACTCTCGTGCCACAAGTATGGCTTTTATAATTAGACCTTTACCCCCAGGAAGAAGTGTTGGTCAAAGGAGTTCACTGTCCTCTCAAATCAAATAAGATTCCTCGCTAAAGAATACCTGGCGAGCAACACTTGGTAATCTTGACTCATCTTCCTCACTTCCCCAGCCAGGCGCTGTGACTCCCTGGAGGGGGGGGGGGGGGTCACTATCTCATTTTAATACATGGCATGTCTACAATTTTCATTGAATTTTTGCGGCAGTCTTTAAACTCAATTTTTGCGCCTAGGAATTTGCCTGCATTAATAAGCTTTGATAAATTTTATGCTGGTTCCCCCCCCCCCCTTCCCTCTAATACCCTTTCTTAAACGTCTTTTAACTTTTCATTCAGCAAAATAAATACATCAGAGGCACTAAAATATTTTATTGGGTTCACACATCATGGTTCAACAATGAGTTTAATCTTAACTGGTTAGTGTTTGCAACTGAAAATTACTGTTTAATTTGTACTGAAAGTTTTTTATTTATTTACTAGTTTTTTCTGCTAAGAGGCCATCTTCCCAGCACAAGAATTTAGTTGAAGGTTCAAGCACCATTGCACAGACTCCTGGTAGGGGGGGGGGGGGAATTAAAAACTTCATGGGATAACTTTTCAACCGAGAGGAATCGGTTTAGTTATAAACTTAAAATTATATATTCCAGGCTTCTGGGCTGACGACCCTGACATCGACGCCGCTCAACTGTGGTCCAGCCTTGAGGCTGCTGCTGCAGCGTCCTCCCAACGAGAAGCTTGTGTTGTTGTTGCCTGTGGGTTATCCTGCCCCCGATGCCACAGTCCCGGAGCTACACCGCAAACCCATAGACCAGATCATGACTGTTGTCTAGTGCTGTTCTGCATTGACGTTTTAAATGTGTGAATGTTGAAAGTTTGTCGCTTCAGTAACGTGTATGAAAGCTTAATAACCAGGGTCTCCATGTAGAATTAATACATTTTTTAAGTTTTAATTTGACCTTTGAGGGTTTTTTTTATTCGCCGGTATTCTTTGAGTTTTTTTTTTTTTTTGCTCCGTTTCATTTTTTTATTGTGCATACAGAATTTTTTATTGAATTTCTTAGTGTATATGTAATTTAAATTATTTTTTAACATGTTCTTTGGTAATAAACAAATATTTGAAATTAGTTTCATAAACCTAAGTGTTTATCACAGGAGATAACAATGGTAAGTCTTCAGTCTGAACCTTCCCTCCCCCCCCAGCGGTGTCACTCAGGTGACCCCCCCCCCAGCGTGTCACTCAGGTGACCTCTCAACCCATCACAAGTCTTCAGTGACCTCCAGATTGTCAAGATTATTTTTTTCTCTCATAGGTTTCAACTTTTGTACAGAATTTTCATTAGTGCAGTTTTTCCTTTCATAATTTGAAAGTGCAGAGCTGTTTAAAAATACCCTTTTTAAATCACCTTAATTGCCAGTCCTTCCCCCCCCCCCCAGAGGAAAGTTAAAATTGGTGGGTTTTCACTTCCTGGTAACTACTTTATACTGCCAAGAAATTTACTTTTTTTAAACGATATTCTGCACCTTAACATACTGATTTATTTGGACAAAAACCTCTCCCCTCCCCTCTTCTTCCTTCCGTCCGAAGAGATTGACTCTTTTTGCACTGAGTCTGTCAGGGAAAAGCTCTTCCTTGGTTCTGTCTCAATCCCCAACATCCATGATTGAGAGTTGTTAGAGGTAAGAGCCTGTTAGGAAGGAGTATCTTACTTGCCACAGGCTGCTTGGTTAATTGAGAACGCAGCATCTTTCGGCAAGTGAATATTGTCCCTTTACAAGTCCTGACAAAGCCGATGACGCCGAATTATGAAACGGAATAATTTTAACTTTTAGTTTTTCCTAGGACGTTTAGGGTGTAAATTTGATTGTTAGGAAAACTTAAAACTACTTCTAAGTGTTACATAAACGCATTTTTGTATAAATTACTGAATCTCAAAAAGTTCTTGGTTAAGGGCTCTTCATCCAGGAACTTGCTACCACTTTCCTTAAAATTAACCTGATTGCCTTCCACTTTTAGATTTTATATGACCCCCTCCTCCCCCGGAGGTTTAGTGCTCTCTCCCCCACCCCATGTAACTATAAATTAGTAAAATTTTAATGATGACAGATTCATAATGAAAATCTAACTCTACCAAGCAGACATCTTGGTTTGCACTGCAGTACACTACCCTCCCCCCTTTTATTTGGGAGAGAGAGGAATTCTTATAAGGACCTCTGTGGTAATGTTTGCCATGGGAATTGGTATGTCAGTGTGCCGGCTCCCCCATCGGGGGCCACAATAGGGCTATGATTTGCTGCCTCGTGTGTCCTTGGATGACGGGAGTGTTCCAGGAAGGTCTTGGTTCCAGGTGGCGGCAGCCAAAAGGGATACTACTGGTATTTCGGGTCTTCCAACTCTTCTTGGCTGATCCTGCCTCGGTTAATGTGGTAAGTTCTATCCCGGTGGAACTGGTTTACCGGGTAGCGAGCAGTTACAACTAAGTTACTCCAAGTCTATTCATGGACGTGGAGAATATAATCTTTCTCGGAGCTGACCCTCTTTTATTGAAAAAGAAAAAATAGTCCAGTTAAAGTTTTGCCTCCTACCAGGCCCACTACTCCTGCGACGCCCTTAACGGATTCCCCTTCCCCACTTCACGGCCAGATATTTTTAAAATCACCCGGTACCAGTTTTGGGCAAACCCTCGTTGCCTGACTTTGGTGCTGGAGTTTCGGGTGGCCCTTTTGATACCTGCCCTTTCCTCAGCTTGGACCATGATATTTTACCCCCTCGACAGAATGTCAATTTTCCAATCTCTCTCACGTCACAGGATGTAATTGGCCTGACGCAAGCATCCGAACCTCCACCCATACTTTACGATCCCAATTCAGGTAATGTCCTGTAAACCTCGTGCAGGTAATTTCTCACACTTTGACCTCTTCAAGGGGGGCTCCTTGGCGTGGTGAAGAGGCTCTTGGTCTGAGGAAATTAGCCCTAGGGTCTTCTTCCTCAGACCGCCCTTTTTACCCCCCAATCTCCCTCCCCTATCCCACCCTCCCCATCCTCCCCTTTTTTCTTTCCTCCTCCCCCTCCCCCCCCCTTTTCCCCTTCCTCTTTTTGTCCTTTGGGATTTCTCCCACAGGCGCGCTAGTTCCTGGTAGGGGAAAGGTCCCGGGGGCCACCCCATTGTTGAGGTTTTTTAGGGGGCGAGTTTCCCGTGGAATCTGGATCCCCTGGGGATGTCCCGATCCCTCTCGGATCCGGAGTAGTTTTTGGGGTCTTTGGGGCGACGAGTGTTCTCTGGAAGCCCCCTTTGGTTTCCGGGGGGGGTGGCCAAAGGGAGGTATGCTTTGTGGCGGGATACCCGGGCCCCGCCCTCTCTTTTGTCCCCCGGGGGTAGCTGGGCAATGGAGGTTGCACCCCGGGGGGGAAAGTTAAATGGAAATGTGAGGGTAGGGTATGGCACGGTTCCATGCTGCATTCCCCCTACTTCGGTGCTGAGGCCCCTTTTGGGACGGAGGGAGATTTCTGGCCCTTTCATTCCCAGGATATCCCTCCCCGCCCCCCCCTTTTTTTTTCTTTTTTTTTTTTTTTTTTTATTTTTCTTTCTTTTTTTCTTAAAAACAAAAGAAAGTAACTAACCATGGCCCCCTTACCCATAAAACCTGGTCCCCCCCGGGCCCCTTCTTGATACCGCACCTCGTTCTGACCCCCCCTTTGTCTTTGGACCACTCTTCAGACATTTCATCCCCTCGTAACTATTCCCGGGTGTGTTTCCTCACCCGCTTCGGGGTACTAGCCTCGATGACTCCTTCGTTTATCGGACCTTCGTTTCCTCTGATTGTTTCCGGCCTCTCCCCCACGGTACGGAAATTTTTAAATCGCCGACCCGTTCCACGTCGGACTAACTCTGGTCCCTCCCTAAACTTCAAGACTTTACCGCTGATGATACTTCTCCACCTTCTGTTCTTCTCAGAAAACGATCGACACTCCTTCACTCCCTTTCCACACTGGTTTCAGACAACAGGGACTAAATTCTTCACTTTACGACCAATTCCTTACTGCCTATCTTTTGCCCATAGTTTTGGGCAAGGCACCCCTAGCCATTTGGTAAAGAAATTTCTTTTCATGTCTTAGAGCGGTACGCGCATATTCCGTACAGAAGTACCCAGGTCATGAGCTCTTATTTTTCCCATAAGTAGTGTTCCTGTCACTCTTAAAAAAACATCATTCCCTCAATTCTTTAGTGGTCCCATCATTCTGCCCATCCCATAGTTCAAAAAAATTTTCCAGACATTGGCACCGACATTTAAACAGCGGGAACCCAAGATTCCCAATCCTAAAGGGTGGGCACTTACTTCTTCCTCCCCGTGGCGGACGTACCCTGCAATGTGGCTCGTTTAACTTTTGACACCCGGAACCCCCCACCCTCAGTTTATTAGCAGGAAATGGGTTACAATTTCGAAAGGTGTCCCTACCCAAAACAGTGTAGAAATTGTGGCGTTTGGGCCATCCACGAAATATTGCAGATCATCCCCGAAGGGCCTGTTTAGCCTTGTGGCTTGCGCTTTTTTTTATTAAATAATAATATATCACCGAATGCCCAGCTTGGTCCCGATGACCATTCTAATACGTCTTGAAATCGATCTCCCTCTTCCCTTAACGTCTGAGGCTCACCCTTGTACTCTCGCTTGTCAGGTCATTTAACGAGCGGGAAAATTCCGTTACCTCAAAGGACAAAAGGGTCTCCCTTATGCCAGGCAGTTTCAATCTCCACCCCAAGGGAGCCCCCCCACGTGTTTCTTATTCCCGGTTTTTCAAAACGTCCCCCACTTCTAGCCCATCCCTACACCACCAGTGGTTACCTCCCCCCATAACACCCCTTTTATCTAATCCTTTTCTGTCCTCGGCTCAGACGTCCCTATTAAATGTCAGTCTAATCTCGCTTTTCGGTTCTCTCTTACAAGCCTCAGTATCGACGAGACCTCGTACGACCCCCTCCCCCAATCGTCCCTCTACCTCTCAAAAGTAAAAAAAAAGGCCGGTAACACCTCCTACCCATTTCCCCCCCCCAATTTTACCCCCCTGTCTCGTCCCTATTTTCCCCCCCTTACTGGCCTCATTTTAAAGTGCAGAGGTTCACCCCCCCTCCTCGTAATGTCCCTTCCCTCCCCTTTTCCCTCCCAAGTTTTTCCCTTCTGCCCCCTCCAGGTTCCTGTCTTTCGTCCCCTGCCACGCTTCTCCGTTCCCCCCCCTTTTCCCCCCCCCCCCCCTTGGTACTTTTAAATACATTTCCCAATTTTTTACTCATCCTCCCCCTACCTTTCCCCAATATTGTCTCCCAACGACATCCTGAATTCCAAAAACATTTGAAGCATCCTAATATATTGCAGGGACCAAACCATAAATGGACACGACCCACCTTCCGCTCTTTCTCTCTCCTCTGCTCCTTTGCGCAACCCCTTTCTTCACAGCGCACCTTTCCCTTCGCTGCTTAAACATTTTCCACTCCCCTCGCATGGGGACTTTTCAAACCCTTCTAGTCGTAGGAATCCTTCCCTCGGATTTAAATATCTTTTATCTTTTGCCAATCAGGGCCTATTTCAGGGGAAATTTTAAACGCGGCCTCAGGGGAAAAAGGGGGGTGGCTTCAGATGTTACTATCCCAGTTGCCCCCTTTTGGTGTTTGCTTACAGGAACCAACCCCCAAGGAAGGTTCCCCCCTAAAGGAAAGGGTTCCCTTTGATGTTGGTGAGGGGCCTTGTTTTGGGGGAATTGGATCGTGGCCCCATTTTCCCCGAATTAACCTGAATGCCTTCCAATCCCCCCCCCCCAGGCGTTTATAACCTGGGTTTAGCGCTTCCCCAGGGAATAAAAAATAAAAAGGGAAAGGTTTTTGATGTTGGTGAGGGGCCTTGATTTAGGGGAATTGGATCTGTGCCCTTTTTCCCCGAATTAAGCCTGATGCCTTCCACCCCCCCCCCCCAGGCGTGTAAAATCCTGGGGGTTTGCGTTTCCCCCCCTTGATTATAATAATAATTAAAATAATTACAGGAACCAAAATTACACTCTACTGTTATGTCTAAACATCTCAGGTATAATTTATTGATTCTTCAACCCTTTTCTGATGGGCCCTTTAAAAGA